AAATAATACAGAGAGAGTAATATAAATGTCATATATAACAATATAAATTTTGTATGTAAAATTTTCTTTCGTCTTGTAATAGTAGACCTGAAGATCAGATGCTGAGGGCAGACAGAAGCTGTAGATGGTGGGGGTATGTGTGTGAAGTAGAAGCAAATGTGGTAGATGTTTGAACTCCTGGAGCAGTTGTTGGGGGGTGGGATGTGTGTGTCCTGCTCCCTTAGCATGAATCCAGGCTGTTGCTCTCTGGCTGTCCTCCGCCCAGGTTTTCTAAGCACACTTGTGTGTATGTTGGGGGGGAGATAAGGCAAAATGACAGCTGTGTGAGACCGTGATTTTTCACTCCATTATCCTGCTTCCCGCTTCCACCCCCTCGCCCCGGAGCATTTTTTAGATTCCCCTTTGGAGCCTGTTGCTTAATCAGCTAGAAGGGCTGCTGCCTCGTTGTGCGAGAAACCCTTCTTAACCTGGCTCCTGCCTGTCCCAGAAGGGTGGGATCGAATTTAGGCTTGGGACTGTGGTGTTGCAGAGCAGTAACCACTGCGTCCTGGTGCGGAGGGGACCCTCCCGGGACCTGTTGCCTGGCCTCTGCAGCTTGCTCAGCTGTGCTTGCCCTGGCTGGGAGTTGGACTCGAGTGGAAGTGCTCAGGCTTTGCAGGCCTGGGCAAACACGGCAATGAAGGAAGGAGGTTTGAGAGCTGGCTTCCTGACAGTGGTGTGGCAGGTTCCTGGGGACACAGACCTTTGATCGTTTATTGGAGTAGGAGTGTAAGCAAGTCAGATGTATGTTAATGTGGTTATACAGAACAGCAGGCAGCGGATAAAAATCATGTCTGTTTGCTGCGCCCTCACCCAGGTACGCCTGCCTCCTGGTTTGGTTCCCAAGGCTCTGCCTACATACCTGCTAGTAAGAAAGTCAGAAATAGCCACAGGGTTTTGTAGACTTTAGACGCACAGAAACCCACATGCATAAGTAAATACTAGGTGAGAGGACTCCACCTCTTGAGTGTTTTGTGTGTGGTTTCTGCTGACTGGAGCTCTGCTTTCAGGGTTCACAATGTCCCCTGAATGCCTTGATAGGATTATTTCTCTGTACGTCTCTGCAGCTCGTCCATTCCTCTTTCTGTAATCCCATCTCTTGGGGCAGGAGAAGCAGCTCTGGGTTTATAGTATGCCCAGAATCCTGTAGCTGGGATTATTTTTTTGAGCTTGTGTCTCACAAAGCCATTCCTCCCTTCTTTCCATGAGTGATGCTTCCTTCCCACCAAGCTCCAGCAAGGGAAAGTTCCTCTCGCCTACTTGTGAAAACATGAATCATTCCTCACCTTTCCTGTCCCCAACAGGCTCTGTGTCTGCATTTTGTACGCTAATAATGTGGCATTGCATAAATTAGTGTGGCAGATCCCTCTAAAAGGAGACGCTTTGGCTGTCTCGGGAAGAGCTGTGGTTCCTCGAATAAGTTGGTGGCCACGGAAGGGGCAAGGAAACGGGGGCTGTTGACAGGGGAACTGCTGGAACTGTGTTTGGCCAAGGTGTTTGCAGCAGAAGTTGAGGCTGGCAGGGAGAACAAACTCTGTGGCTGTGGTCCTTCCACCTAGTTGGTTTTCTGTGGAAGGTGAGTAGGCTAAGCCCGGGCATGTTGATGGGGTATAGCAGGTCAAAGGGTTAGCTAATCACCGTAGGTAAAGGGATGAGGAAAGGCCTGAGCTGCTAAAAACAAACAGCTGGCACACCTAGGTAGGCAACAGAGACAGAGAGGCTCAGGCAGACCAAAGGGGGCTGTGATCCCAGCAGCAGAAGTGTGTGGAGATAAACAAGTGGGGATCACAGTCAGTGTGTGCCTCGCAGGGTTCAGTTCAGTGAGATGTCTCCTCCCTGTCCCTTGTGCTAGCCCCTGCCTAGGGGCGATGGAGTCGCTTGCTCCTGGCAGTCTGTCTGTCTCTCGCAGCCCTTGGGTCCTCTGCTTTGCTGCCACTGAGGTGCTGGTCTAGGGCTGGGCCAGAAGCGCTCCTTCTCACAGAGTTTATTATGCCTGTCCCTTCTGATGTCTCACAAGGTTACCACTGTCCTGGTGCCAGGTACTGTAAGTTACAAGGAGCAGTACCTTCTCTTTTCACAACAGTGTGAAGTCATCACCCCCTGAAACCTTTGTAGGAGGGATTTCCTGTCCCCCACCCCCAGGCACTGAACAAAATGGTAGGGAAGAGATTCAATCCTTCTTCATTCCCATAATGGGAACATGGAAAACATGCTTGTAAGGGTCACGTTCCTGCTATATTTCTGGCTCATGCTGTCCCTGGACATCCAGGGAGATCAGGAGAGGTGACAGAGGCTGTGTAGAAAGCAAAGTATTTCAAGATTAAAAACTGTACTCAGCCTGTGGGTGAAGTGGGGAGGTCTCTTCTGTAGTCTGACATGATTCACTTCCTGTTCCTGCTCTGACGCTGTGCTTTCTGGGCTTCTTTTCTCAGCACGACTGAACCATGGAGCTTCGAGTGGGGAACAAATACCGGCTGGGCAGAAAGATTGGCAGCGGTTCGTTTGGAGACATTTACCTAGGTGAGTGTGAGTCTGTCCTTCTCCCCACAGGGTTGTTTTTCTGAATTGCGTCATCGTTTTGGGGTGGTTGTTCTTGCCTGTTGATATTTGTGGCCACCGTGTAAGGTTGAAGGTGATGGAGAGAAAAAGAACTTCAAGGAGTACTGCTAGTTGCTGCCAGTCTTCTAAGGGCAAAGAAAGTGGGATGAACTCGGCTTTGCCTCGCGGATACTGGAGACACAGTGGAGTTTGATCAGACTGATGTAGATTTGGACTATTCGGGGCGTATTTGTCATACACTCTACTCCAGCTCTCTCTTCCTTTTTTTGAGCTTGGGTGTGTGTGGGTATAAACTCTGTAAAAAAAAAAAAAAAAAGTGGGTGGTGGAAAGGGATGAGAGCTCTGTTCCTGAAGGGTAAAAGTGATAAAGTTTTGGGAAGATTGGTAGTGGAAGAGGTGGTCCAGCACATGTGAGAGAGGTGTGAGACCAGGAGGTGTGAAACAGGTCAGAGAGGCTGCCCTGGTTAAATGATCCTGGGGCCCAGATCTGTTAGATCTGTCATGAGACTTAGAGTTAATGTCTGGAATGACCTGAGCTGGGAGCCCATGAGATGCTGGGTTTCCTGTTACCACTGCAGGTCACCTGGGGAGAAGTTCTTCCAAGCCAGCACACTGATGTGTAGATATGTTCCTGATGCTTGTGTCTGCTGATGTTTTTATTGGCTCAAACTGTGTGGGGTCGGAGTGCCGAGACTACCCAGTAGCCTCCATGAGAGCTAGCATGGCTTTACCTGTCATCTAGTTCTCACCAGTACCTGTTTATCTGTAGTCCTGCAGGCCAGCAGAATGATTGCCCTCTCTCTTCTTGGTGTTTGCACCCTTTGGGTACTAACAGGTGGTTGTCATGTGCTCGTTGACTGTTAATTTGCTCAGTTGGATTGTACTTTGCTTCCCAGTACATTTACCACTCTGCTCCTTCCATTTTTCCCAGTTTGTCCGTCTGCTGACCAGCTTGGAGCCTACATAGCGTTTGAGGTGTGGCATTTCCAGTGCCTGGCAGTGAAGGGCTACCCTTGAGTGATCTGTAATGTGACGCCTCTGCATAGACTGCTTTGGGTCTCCTTGGCTTCCCCCATCGCCAGCGCTGTATTGGATTGCAGAATTGGCCTTAGCGCGCTGTCAGCTGTATCGTAGGTGATGTCTTCCAGGTTCTGCAACATCTTCCCATCCCTCCCTGAGTTCCTTTCCTTGAATATCTCTAGTTCAGTTTACTTTTCCCCATGTCTATAAATCACTTTCTGTTTTCTACCTCTGGCTTTTCTCTCCAGTTCCCTCTTGCTTTCTTATTCTCTCTTGATTGGTGCTGGCAGCCTCTCTTGATTAAGTATCCTGTGGGAATCATCAGTAACAGGCTTTGTTGCTACCTGTATCCAGAGCATGAATGAAGATGATAAATAATGGATCTGGGATCCCAATTCCACCATGTGCTGCCTTTACTGCAGCCTACTCCTGTATGCCACTCCTCTGTGGCCCTCCAGCCAGTCAGTGTCTTGGGTGACAGTGCTTTTAATTCCCAGGTGCCTAGGGATTGAGGGGTGATAGCCCAGACACTGCATTTTCCACCTATGCTAGGGCATGAAGCCTTCCTGACCCTCTCTAGGACAGTATAAATTGTCAGGATCTTGCAAAACATCTGGGGTACATGTGGAGAAAGAAGGGAGGAACTGAATGGAAAGGCCTGATACTGCATTCCTCTGCACCACGTAACAGGTTGTCCACCTGTGCAAAAGGAGCATGGAAAACAGGCTTTGGGGAAGGTGTTGTGCCTGCCTTGCCCGTAACCAAACAACATGAGAGGCAGAGGAAGCCCTAGTGTGGTGAGCACAGTGGGATGCCTCCAACTGCCGAGTTCAACCAGGTTACTTGAATGCAGTATCAAAGTCCTTGTGATGTTCATTGAGGTGCAGGCCAGCGTGTTTTGAAGCAGCGATAGTGAGACTTGTTGGAGCCTGGGTGACTCCCCAGCCTGGAGGGATCAGGCATGTAGTCTGTGATGGCGCGTCTGGAGGACGCTTGTGCTCGTGCTGTCCTCTCGTGGTCTGCTCTGCAGACAGAGGGACTATTCACAAGGACTTTCCTCCTGCACCAGATTCACATCACAGTTCTCTCTCGATAATGGTGTGGAGATGGAGCAGACGATGAGCATGGGCTGTACAGTTTATCCCCAGCTTCTCTCTTCCAGGATGTTAGTACTTTTCACCCACTCTGTAAACAGTGGGTCCTGCATGCTGTGCTCTTCGGGATTTGTTTTTGGGTTTTCCTGTTGGAAGGAAACTTGAATTTCTACATGGGTAGACACAAAGGGTGGACTCCTGTTAATCCTTGGCTGAGGCTTAAAGCACAATGCCTTGCTTCTGTGCCCTGCCTCAAGGGATAGATGTGCTAGGGGGGATATTCTCCCCATGTTAGTTTGGGAGGGTGGGAGGTTGAGGTCAGGCTGCCCATGGGCCTTGGTTAGCCCATTTGCCTCTCAAAACTCTCACTCAAAAGAGCAAAACCGAGTTTGCAGAGGAATTGGCGAGACCTTCAGGCCGTCAGAAGAGACGTGCTTTGTCAGAGGTGTCGGCCAAGAGGCAGGGCAGGGTTGCTGGATGCAGTAGGAATCGTTTGGGCCGGGATGCACTGGAGCGGATGTTGGCGGAGGAGAGGAGCTGGGGATGGTAGGGCAGACAAAGCATGCTGGGACCTGCGCTGGCTGGGGACAGTTCCTGGTGGCAGGCTCCTCCCTTGCTGGGAGGGGAGTGCCTTCCCTTTGTTTCCTGGCCTGTTAACTCTCTCTCGCCCTATCTGACTTCTTCCATCTGTTCCCAGCCCTCCATTCTTCCCGTGCCAAGCTGGCGAGAGGGGAGTGGGCAGTGGGGAGAGCGGGGGGGCTGTGCCTGTTGGCTTGCCCGATGCGCAGGGAGGGCAGTGTTTATTGTATCAGACATGCAGCAAGGCTTTCACTCCGAAAAGATCCTGTTTAGCCGGTGACATCCTCTGTCCCCGGGGCCCCGTTTCAAACAGCTTGTGATGAATGAGTTGAATTTGTGCAGCCCCCACAGCGGAGCGAGACTGGGGGTGGATGTTAGGAATTATCCCCAATCCTACATACGTCTCTCGAGTGGCTGAAGCTAGGCAGGCTCTGCTGCGTTTGTCTGAAATGTGGTGCTTTCCAGTCTGGAGAGGGAGCGGAGAACTGTTGCTTTTGTACTTGTATCTTTAAAAAAGATGGTGGTTAAAGCATGGAACAAAGGATCAGAGAGACTCCTGCCCTTGAATTCCTTCCTCACTTGTGGTGATCTCATTCTGGGTAGATCTCTAGGCAAAAAATGGTAGAGGGATCAACCTGAAGACATAGGAGGGTTTCAGGAGGGAGCAAGCGTAAAGTGTTCAGTCAGTGACCCCCTCAGCAAAGAATAGGTCCAATTGGTCCTACTTCTCCTGTTCCAGGCCATGGGGTTGTTTCTGCTTTTTCCTAACACCTGTGTTTGGGCTATGGAGAGTGTAGGGCTGAATGTTGATCATTGGAATGGCGTATTTATATTTTGCAGAATCTTAAGTTTTCTTGACGGTTGCCCCTCCTTTCCCTTTTCCTGCTTTACATACTCACAGGTAACACTCCCCACCTGCAGACAGCCTAGTAGATGGATGCATCATCATCTTCTTAAACACACAGGGTAATGTGGAGATGGGAACTCGTTCATCTTTCTGCTGTTCAACTTTGGGCAGTAGGGTTCATTCGAAATGCTAAATGCTAGTGCTGCTGAAAGTCAGCAAGACTTATCATTGCGTGTGTGTCAGCAGATGGACTAAGAGAGGGAAAAATTCCCCCAGGGAGCGGACAAGGGAGCTGCTATAGAGCATTTGGAGGAAAGTCATCACAAAGGCGGGGGAAAGAGAGAAGGGAAGGAAGCGCTTTTATCTATTTCGATGTCCTGGGTGTTTCCATGCTGAATGCTGGCCAGTGATTGAACAGTAATTTAAAAGTTAGATAATAGTCCAGTGCCACATTTTTATTGGATCTGAACCCCTTTTCGAGCTCTTTTCCTCCCTCCTTGCACTCCTGGTGCTTGTAAGAAGGGTCCTGTGGTGGAGTGAAGGGAATGTACAGACTTGCTTTGCTGGCCAGCAGTTTTTAAGTGGAAAATGTCAGCATCTTTCCAAAAGTAACCATTGGACAAATGGCTCTCTAGCTCTCAGGATGGCTTTGTGCCTTTCCCTTCTCCTGGCTCTTGAGTAAAAACCCTTATTAAATTCATCCCATTGCTTCTCCTTCCCCTCCCTCAGAGCACCCTAAAGAATTCCTCTCCCTCCTTAGTGTTTACAGCCTTCAAATATTTGCAGACTGTTGTCATGTCCCATTCTTCCTCCCCACCCTTCTTAGTTGTATCTCTTTGTCTAGGTTACATATTTAGCTCTTTTAATCTTTCTTAGTAAATCAATCCCTCTAGGCCCTGATCATTTTTGTTCCTCTTTTACAAATTCCTAGCCGCTTGTCTGTCTCGACCTGGCATTGCAGTATCTAGATGATGTCTTTTTGCTAGCAGGCAGCTCTTGGCTAACTTTGTGTACATGCCGGAACTCTCCAACAGGAGATGGATCTCTTTAGGATCCAGGGGGAGAAAGTATCTGCTTGTGTGAACATCTCCTTTTTCTCTTTGGTCCTTGGCTCTGGAGGCGGTGTGTGAAAGAGGATGGCTGGAGATCTGTCTGCACCTGTCCTTGTGGACTCTGAATGTCTTCCCGTAGGGATCAGGAGGCACGAATTAACCAGACCTACCAGAACGAGCTATGGGTATCTACAAAACATCGCCTTTGACTCCAGCTCATGTTTGACATGCATATTCTGGAGCAGTTTATTTTATTACAGTGTTCATGATCTGCTTGTGATCAGAGCTGCTCTCTGATTTGTGTTTGAGTGCAGCTTTTAATAGTTCCGGGTACGAGGAAGGGCTTGTCTGTGTGTGTGAGGCAGGCATGGGAGAGGGGGAGAGTCTTGAGCGTCATTCCCGTGACCTGTGTACAGATCTTAATTCTTTCCATTTTAGGATGATGTGAAACATCTGGAATCCTCTCAGCTAGTACGAGAGAATGACCAGCCTGTTCCTCCTTTGACAGTGTACTTTGGGATCAGAGTGCTCGCTCTCATGGCTGGCAGCTCAGTTCTTTTCAGAAAGAAGCGTGTGGGGTGGTGGTTTTGTATCATTGCAAACTATCTAGCCGTACCTTCAACAAAAGCATCTGAGTAGCTTAATTCAGTACCTGATTCAGTTTGTTTCTTCACGCTTCTAATTTAGGATATAGCAAATGTTTCTATGTTGGCAAAAGATACAGGTATTATTAAAGCCCTTGGGAGAGGGAGAAGCTGGAGATTTGGGAATTGTCTGTATTGAGCAGGTCAGGGCTGTGGAGAAACCAGAGGTAGCTGGGAATGTTAACAATGTCTCCTCCTGAACTAATTGGCTCTGTTGAAATGACGTACCCGAGGTAACCAGTAATTTTGCTTGGGAAGAGGTACTCCATATCACTGCCTGGGGGGCCTGGTTTGCATTCACGCTCTAGGTATATGGTCAGGGACAGCTAAAACTTCCACTTGGGTTAGCAGATTGACCTCCCAAAGTCTGGCACTTTTTGAGATAACAAGGCAGTTAACAGGTTGTAGGACTGTTCTAGCCTGGCTGCAGGATCAGAGCTGGTTTCCTATTCATGTGCCTTCCTCTGGGCTTGCCTTTGCAAAATGGCAGCGCTGGAAACTCTGTATGAAGTTGCTGAATCTCATTTCTGTTACAGAGAATAAATTTCAGGGCAAATCTTAAGGTTTTGACATCTGTATGGGCCTTGTTAAAAGTGTGCAGTGGAAGCTTGCTCAGTCTTCTTTTGACCTTTGTTTCTATGCAGGAGCCAATATTGCGACTGGTGAAGAGGTGGCCATCAAACTGGAATGTGTCAAAACCAAGCATCCCCAGCTCCACATTGAAAGCAAGTTCTACAAGATGATGCAGGGAGGAGGTGAGACGGGGAGGAAAGGATGGGGCTGGGGGAGTGGTTGAAGAAAGAAATTATTCTGGAGGGACTTAGAAAGGAAATGATTTGATGTTACATATGATCATCTCAGCAGGGGATGCAGCAGTTTTCCTCTGTTCCATGAGCTTAATCTTTCTCTTTCCCCAGTGGGTATCCCCTCCATTAAGTGGTGTGGAGCAGAGGGGGACTATAATGTGATGGTGATGGAGCTCTTGGGGCCCAGCCTGGAAGATCTCTTCAACTTCTGTTCCCGCAAATTTAGTCTCAAGACAGTTCTGCTCCTGGCAGACCAGATGGTGAGTTTCCTCTGAAGCATTTGTGCCTACTCTCCTTTTCCGTGCCTTTTTTTTTTTGTTGTTGGTTTTTTGGTTTGGTTTTTTTTTTCTTTCCCCTCCCATCCGCTGTGCTCAAGAACTGCTATATCCCAGGCTTTTTTCATTTAGCAGCAAGTGGCTGCCATGTTTCTATTTCTTGATGAAACTGGAGGCCTGGAACCTAGGCATTGCTGGGTTTCCTTGATCTCCATCCCTCCTTCCTTCCCCTGCTGCTCACCCTGTATTAGCATTGCATGCATAGATGCTTTTGCCTATGTAACGAACGGCTGGCATCGCTGCCTATGTTGACTCAACCGCCCATGCCTTGGGTTTAAGACCCGTAGCTCTTCTGGACCCTCTTCCAGCCTGGCTAAGTTTGAAAGTTGCCTGGTGTCAATACTGAAGCTCAAAGTTTTAGTCCGTAAGAGCTTGCTTCCCATCCTTCCTTGTGGTGCTAATGGTGACCTCTCCAGATGGAAGACTGGGCTGATGTGCAGGGTTGAATTCCATCTCCATTCTTCCTCTCTAGATCCTTGTGCTTCCAGAGGGTGTCTTTTTCCTTGGCTGTCATCTCTGCTGTTCTCTGCAAAATGTCCCTTTCCCTGCTCTGACAGGCCACTGTCCTGGGCAGGGTGCTTATTTTGACAGATGCAGTTAACATAAGTTACCTTGTTGTTTGTGTCTCTATTTATTTACACACACCCCCTCCCCACCTGCCCTTCCAGATCAGCCGTATTGAGTACATTCATTCCAAGAACTTCATCCACCGGGATGTGAAGCCAGACAACTTCCTTATGGGCCTTGGCAAAAAAGGCAACCTAGTATACATCATTGATTTTGGTTTGGCCAAGAAGTACCGAGACGCCCGGACCCACCAGCACATCCCTTACCGGGAAAACAAGAATCTGACTGGCACAGCCCGTTATGCCTCTATCAACACCCACCTGGGAATTGGTGAGCCTGCTGTTGCCGATTATTGGGGCTTTCCAGGGGAGGTAGTGTGTCCCCAGGAGGGAATTGGGTTCTGTGCCTGGCTCTACTGCTGACCTGTGTTGAGATGATGGGTAAATAGCTTAACTGTTACACCTGTGTTTCCTCTCCTGCCTTTTGTGGCGCTCTGAGCTCCTGAATTGTCTACTGGTATGTGTTTGTGTGCTGCTTAGTGCAGTGGGGCCCTATTTCAGCAGCAAGGCTGTGACCTCCCTGACTTTACTGCTACTAACTCTGCCTTGCACAATTTTTGCGGGCTGATTAGATGTGTAAAGGAGACGTTTGTAGGCGCCGAGCCTTTAGGGATATGTGCAGTTGAAACCTCTCTTGTTGACTCCTGAATGCCTTAATCGGTGATTATTCTGTAGCGGTTGGAGCTGGAGGATACAGCCCCACTGCAATACGATGATACTTCTGTTACCCACCACTGAGGACAGGGACAGCCGTGTGCTGGAAATGGAGGGGAGGAAAAAGAAGCTGAAATGAGGGGAGGCTTCCTACTGCCTGGACATCCAGGTTTTGTGATTGAGGATTGGTTGTCATGGGCCTTCAAAATATGTGTGTGTCTGTGAACCATGCTGCCCCATTCACCACTGAGAGAGAGTGAGGCAGCTTTAGGGAGGTAGGGCTCTGCTATGGCTAGTACTGTGGGGATGAAACTGGGCTGGGAAAGATTCTTCAGCCAGGTCTTAACATGGGTGGTGGCCGTCATCCCAGGCTTTGTAAAAACCTTGTTCAGGTTAGTACCCGCTGTGCTTAAACCTCCTGAAGTCACCCAAAGCTTGTCCTGAGAATGAGCCCCTGATGCACAGCACCTGGCTGCTGTGAGGAACAGAGGTGGAAACCTCTTATGGTTTTCTCTTCTGTCCCCTGACCAGATACTTCTCTCCAGTGTGTGACCTTTTTCCCATGCTTGGGCTAAACTTTGTCCACGGTGTGACAGTTTCTTAGTTACCATAGGGTCCGTTCTGAGCAGGCTGACTTGGTTCTGCTGCTGTTTGGCAAAGCCAAAGAGCAGAAACACTGAAGCTGCCTTGCCTGCGGACCCAGGAGAGTAGCTCCTGTGCTCGCAGCTCAGTTTGTATCTCTGGGAGACCTTATTCTGAAATGTTTAAGCTGGGAATTTGAAAATCAGAGCGACGAACTCAAACCTTTTAAACTAGCAGCTTCCACAGGATTTCATGTCCTTATTCTTCCTAGGGAAAGCTTCCCATTCTCCCCTCTTGCAGATGGTTTCTCAGAAATCTGAAGTCAAGACTTGACCTGCAGAAAATAAAGCAGTTTCACACTGTCTTTGTTGCTTAATACTGTATAATGGTAGACTGAAAATTATTTATATCGAAATGGGGAGTGTTGTGTGTTGAGAGTGTGCTGTGATCTCCTGACCTCTTCCATGTAGTAAAAATAGTTCTCGTAGAGCTTTCCGAGTTGGTCTTCTGTATTTTGGCTTGACCTGCTTATATATAACTGACTCTCCATTGAATTCTCAGTCAGGATTTCCACCGCCATGGTAACTGCCACAAGGAGACATGCACAAAATAATTCTCACTACTATGTCTGTCTGTTCTTTTGTGTGTGCCTGCTCTGTCTGAACTGATCACGAGAGGCTAAATGTCTGGTTGTGGATTTTTTTTTTTTTTTTTTTTTGAGGGAGTTTATTATTTATCCTACCCCAACTTAGGCCTTTACTACTGGTGCTTGGCTTGTGCCTGAGGATGAACAAACAACGTCTGAACAGTAATCCAAGGGCAAATCGCATATGCCGTCGGTCTGAGCGCAGCAGTTGCTCTCTTCGTGCCCTTTGCTTTGGGGAGAGTCTGGGTGTGAGTTACTCTGCGCAACAGGTCTCGGGCGTATTATCTCCACGTTGCAGATAGTTCCCCTGAATGGCATAAAGGTTACATGACTTGTCAGGAGGAAAGGGGCTGGGGGTGTCAGGGCTGCAACTGGAGTTCCTGTTTCTCAAGACCTTGCCACAGGGCGTATGACAGACGCATTTGTGAGTTAGCAGCATTGCCATGGGAACCATCACTCTGAATTTTTTGACTTTTCAGAGACTGAATTCTCTGTCTTAACGTTACATTAATGCGGTTTAAGGAGAGGGAAAGAACCAGGTGCTGGGGTATTCATGTGACGGGAATAGCAAATGAATAAATGCCTTTATTTGAATGTGCAAGCTAAGGGTTGGGCATTCCGATGTCTGGAGGAAACACATTCTTTTCCCAGTGACCCGGTGAAAAAGTAGGAGGCGAGATCGAGCTCGGGGAGGGTTTCCACAGCTGGAGACTTGCTGTTGGGGGAGTCATTGGACTGTGCAGGCTTTGGTTCACGCATTCCAGTCAATTTTCACATGCTCTGGGGATGAGAGTCCCTTGCAGCTTGTAAAGTCTGAAATAAATGCCCAGGGGTGCCCAGGAGACAGTCTTGGAAGAAGTCTGGTGGGCTCTGTCTGGATAACAGGAGGCTGGTGGTGGGGGACAGTTCCTTCTCAAACGCGTGTCCTAGATGGCATCAGTGTAGCCTGTGCAGAGCCTAAAGTTCTGCTCATCCTGCCCTCTGTCACCCGTTCCAGATTTTTGTGTGTTTTTAAAGCCTGTTGCCATGCAGCGGGGAGAGAAAAGGGAAGTGTAGTCCCAGCATGTGCCAAATCAGATGTGAGTGTGTAGTCAGGAAGACATTGCTTGGTTAAGACTGCTTGCAGCTGGGCTGGCCCTAGTGAAGACTGCTGATTTCTAGGGAGTCCTGCATGGGAACAGCATTGTTTTGGATAGGATTGGGATGAGGGGAAGCACTGTCCTTGGGGACCAGAGGCCCTTTACACTGCAAAGAAACAAGCTTTGTCACGAACCTTACATCTAAGCCAACCAGTCCTCGGTCTCCTGTCTTTGCCCAGGCACGTCTTCCCCAGGTAACTCACCCTTGTGCTACTCATTCCTGACTCGGCTCCTTCTGAGGACCCTGCTTTGGGAAGGGAGTGAGGGTGTAGGCTGGCTGGGAGCCTCCCTGGGAGTGGGAGGGAACTGGCACCAGATTGCTTGCAAGAGTGAGTTGGGTTTGAGAGGTCACGCTGGGTTGCGTGGGAAGGCAACCTTGTGTTTTATGTTGGAAGGGGTTTTGTGAGGGAGGAAAGGGTGAGTGTCGTACAAAAGTAGCAGTCTCCCATCTATTGTAGGAGAGTTGAGAGGCTGAAATAAAATGCAGAGAGGAAGTGTGATGTAGTGTCACAGGTCATGACTGTAATCCTCCTTCTGGAATGATTTGCTCTGGGCATGCAGTCATGTCACTTGTTTCTCTTTCTCTTCTCAAATCGTAAATTGAGATCTTTTGCCTGCGTCCCAGGCATGCTGTGAGGCTTAGTCAATAATCGTGAAGCTTCTAAAAGTGGGAAGCAGTGATGTTAAATAATGTTTCTTTGGTTTGTAGAGGTGAACCTTTTTCTACCTCATTAATTACTCCATTTTTGCTCTCTAATGTTATGTAGTATTCTGTGGCTGTTGGTATATGAGGCCAGGTAAAAAATAATAATAATAAAAATTTGGCGATGGCTTTGGGATGTATAATAGTAACTGAAGATGAAACAAAGAAACGGGATATAAGAACTCTTCATCATCATCCAAGGTTTAATTCAGGATCTTGTAGTTCGGGTTACAGATGAAAGACAACTACAGGGTTTTGAGGTAGCTTGAAACTGTGACCCATCATGTTGGTGCTTCAGGCTCCTCATGGATTTGAATCTCTCACTGAAACTGTTTAAGTGGACTACAATGACTGCATGTTCCTGAGAAACGATAATTCCAGGGATGTGACACAATTGGACATTTATCATTGGCATTTTAATAATTGAGTATCCTGCTTACAGTTATTTTTCTTTGATCATATTGCTGTGTTAAGGCATAGTTAAGGTGTGTTTGCATGCATGCAGTGGATACTAGTGAGCTGCCCAGTGTGGTTTTGTAAGCCCTCTCCTTGCCTCCAGTAGGGACATGTAGCATCCCTCACTGACTTCTGTCTCCCTAACCTCAATTCTTAATTCTGGCCTTCCCCAAATCACTAGGCCTGTGCCTAGACATGTGTTTTTAGGAGGTCTCCTGTTGTTCTGGATGGGGTTGGTGGCTATGCTCAAAGCTGCTGTGCTCCACACAAATGGAGACGTGTGGTCCAGCCTCCCTTAAGCAGTGTGGAGTTTAAGCAAGATTTTGGAGGCAAGATTCTGATTTATTTCTAAGAGGCTGATTTGTCTTTTCAGTAGGTGTCTCTGGTTCCTGCCCTGCCTTTCCCTGTTCCTCTTGAGGGGCACCCCCATACTCCAGACAGGGAACCGACAGTTACAGGCTTTAAAGCTAGTGCATGGATGACTCAAGGCAAACTGCAGGATTGAGGTTACCTTCGTCACCTGTGCTTTCAGGGCCTGGATGTGAGTCCTGACTCCCATTTCCACAGGCCTCCTGTCTCAGGATGTAGGTCATTATCAAATATTGTTTAGTTTTATTTGGTATGCATGGTGTGTAATCGCAGCCTTCTGAGAGTACACGTATCCCAGCCTTAGGCTAAATGCATAACTGTGGATTTCTTTTCCCTTCTCCCTTCATAGCATCTAAGCACCTCCCAGCCAGTCATGTAGTTATCTTTGGCAGCAGCCTGATGAGATTAGGAAGTATTAGCCCCTTTAAAGTGGGCAACTCGAGGCAGTAAGTTAGTGAGGTCAAAAAATGCTGTTACTTCTGCATGCTCCAAGTAAGACAGTTTGGGGATCTGCGGGACTAGTTTCTCCTCTACCTCTGTCTTGGAACATGGAATTTTCATGGCATTTCATGTGCTTTGAACCAAAGGCGCTCTCGTTTATGGATTAATGACGCCCTCCTTTTCTTCTGAAACCACAGTGGGTTCCCCCCCCCCCCCAATATTTTTAATTTGCCAAGCCTCCTAGTCCTCAAAACACTAAGAGGTTATGAGGGGTGTGCAGGAGAAGAAAGGCCCGTGGTGACCCACAGCTTTGCATTGGTACATTTGGACATCTAGATCTGTGACCTGCTACAGCTACTCCTTTATCAGGGTTCAGTTCAGCTAGCAGAGTAAAGGGTAACTGTAATAATCTACTGGCCTTTGGATGGGGCAGGTGGTAGCATGTAACTGATACTGAGAATTAACCCAGAGACCAATACATAATCTGCGGTATCTTCTAGGATATGGCACTGAATCCAGCAAAACGTGCTGTGGTAGTAAATGAATCTAAAAGATTAATCTTTTTAGTCTTTCCTCTAGCCCTGTGCTCTCCCTCAAGCCATATTTTGCCTCTGTGTTATCTATGTAAGTTGTTGTTCTCCTCAAGATGTAATGTGCTTTCTTTGTAGTGCTTATTTTATTTTATTTGGGAGGGGAACAGGGGCAAGAGCTTTGTGGCAAAATTTATAGATGAATTTGTAAGCATGAGCTGGAAGGAGTCTTGCAAGTTAACCAGTCAGTGTTTTCAGTTGCTGATATTCTGCATCAACTCCATCTTGAGCTAAGTTGGCAAGTTCAAATGGCTTGGCCATTCCAGAGAACAAGTTCCATTTGGAATGTTTTTCTTGGGGGAAACAATTTTTTTGTTTTGTTTTGTAAATAAGCATCTAAAAGTGGGCCCTTACAATGGTATATTAAGGGCAACCCTTGCTCTGTGTAGAGTTGATAGTGATGCCAGTTACGCAGTCGTTCCCTGTTTGGAGTGGGATCTTTTGTTCAAAGTATACCTCTCTTCTCCACAGCTTGAAAAATGCCACCAATCTGGAAAGATATTTGCACAGTATTACAAGTTAGGCTTCTCTAAACTATTGACAAAGTCATTTACCACAAGAAGGGGTCACTAGTTCCTTGTTTCTTCCCTGTGTAAAGAGTATCAGAGGGTTAATTAAAAGATGTGTTTCAAACTGTTGGGCTTACCTCTGTTAGCTTTGTCTTTTTGTGACTACCTCTGCCATGACTAATCCCCAGGGTGAAGTATCATTCTGGGTGGAGAAGTGTAGGTGCCTTTCCTTGGGACTGGGAAGAGCAAAGTAGGCAGTGTCACTGCAGCAGTTCTTGAGCTGTTGAATTCTTGTGTGAATTAAGGCTTGTCCAAGTGAGGAGGTAGTCAGAGTAATTATTCGTTTATGAAGTGGGTTGGGCTGTTTGGGGAGAAGAGCGCTTTAACTCTTGCAGTATGAACATCCCCGTAGGACTTTGTACTGCAATGTCTTCTACAAGTTTGTCTATCCATAGAAACCTACCAAAGAAGAGAGAGGCGTTGTTTATTTTGTTCTATGTTTCCCTCCAAAGCTGTGATTGCTAAAGCAGTTTTGGTTGCTGCTCACTCCTTGCCCCTTTGTAACTTCTTCCCACAGAGCAAAGTCGCCGTGATGACCTGGAGAGCCTGGGCTACGTGCTCATGTATTTCAACCTGGGCTCGCTGCCCTGGCAGGGCCTCAAGGCTGCCACCAAGCGCCAAAAGTACGAGAGGATCAGTGAGAAAAAGATGTCAACGCCCATTGAGGTGCTCTGTAAAGGGTACCCTTGTAAGTGCTTTCATCTTGATGACTGTCTTGTCTGGTGCATGGTTTTCTCACTGGCTGAAACCTCATGGAGTTTTGAGTCCTGAAGGGCAATGTCCAGTACCCCCAGCATGTGCTGCTGATGCCAGCCATGAGAAGGATAAGGCGCCAGTGGTGGGAAGCAGATGTTTTTTGTGGAGAGTCAAGCCTTGCGTTAGTAAGGACGTGGGGGTGCTGAGAGGGATCTTTAGGACCTCAGAAACAGTCTGGAAGAGGGGTGGGCATCAAGGTAAGAAGATGTGCTGGTGATCCTGAGTTATTCTGGATAATGAGGATGAGGGCCGACTGTGATGAATCCCAGAAATAACCAGACAATGAAGTGGCAAACGCAGTTCTTTGTAGGTAAACGTGGAGTAACATATATGAGGGGAGAGTAGAAGACTTGGTCGTCATGTCACATGCAGAATAGTAAGCTCTGAGCTGACCAGTTCCACTCACCAATGAGCTGTTGCAGTTAGATGATCCTTTGAAAGCATCAACTATGCGCTTAGTGGCTACTGAGGAAAGTGGCTCGGGTATTAGGAATTACTAGGAAAGAAAAGAAGCACAAACAGTGCGCATAAACCCATGGCTCGCTCGCACTTTGCGTGCACTGTGCAGCTCTGGTCCATCCCACTGTTTGAGAAAGGATGTGGTAGAACTGGAAAAAGGTCCAGGAAAGGCCAAAAGTGTAATCAGCAGTGAGATGATTTTACACAAGCAACGAGTTTGCTGGAACCTGGAAAAGAGGTGATTAGAGAGATGGTAAAAGTCTATGCTCTCGCTGTGCCTCCAGAAGTTTGGATGGGAGCTGATTATTTGGTGGCCCTGGTTCTTGTATTGGAAGAGAAACAAAGCTAGTTCCTGCTAGCATAGAAACAAAACGATGTGGTTCTTCACCCAGCGAGTAGTAGACCTGCATAACTCCTTCCCAGAAGATGATGTGGGTACTTAAAACTTACAGGAGTTCAAGGAAAGATTGGAAGACTATGTGGAGAAGAGATCCACTGAGGGTTACTAAATAATTAGAAACCACATCCAGATCAGAAAGTTCCCTGAGCTGAAAGTAGATGGAAGCTGGGCTGATGTCAATGGAAGTGTCAGATGTGCTTCCCCCAGTCTTTCTTCTCTGTAGCTGTCCACTTCTGGCCACTGCCTAAGACAGGCTGCTGAACTAGGAGGACCTCTGGTCTGAGCTGAGCTTCCCAAAGCTCACGTCCTCCTATTCTTTAAGCCTGCATTCTTAATCTCCTTAAGCAGGCTGTGTGACTTGCTATGTCTTGCTTGGAGAAGCAGCTTGAAAGAGATGCATGAGCATTTCCTCTGTTAAAAAAGGGGATGGACTCTTCTCGGTGGCCAAAGCACTGCAACCAGCCGGCTCCGCTTTCGTTACACAGCTCTGTTTGTGCCATCCTGGTCCAGCGCACCACTGCTGAAAGGGCTCTGCAGTGGGACTGTTGGGGGTTGGATGGTGTTCAACAACCAACTGTTCTTTGCTCCCTCCAGCTGAGTTCTCGACGTACCTCAACTTCTGCCGCTCACTGAGGTTTGATGATAAGCCTGACTACTCATACCTGCGGCAGCTCTTCCGCAACCTCTTCCACCGCCAAGGCTTCTCCTACGACTACGTCTTTGACTGGAACATGCTTAAATTTGTGAGTGTGTGTGGCAAAAGGGCTGGAGGGACAGGGGTTGATTTTTGTGTCATGGAGGTGGGGGAGGAAAATTGGAAACTACCTGCCATTTGTACTTAACCCTGGTGAGCAACTTGAGAAAGGGGACCAGAGGAAGAGAGGCAGAGTTGTTTGGTGGTGCTAACTGGGCGGTACAGCTACTGTTGTATTAGTGAGTGTGTCTGGTGGAGCATGTGTGTCAATAGATCTGTCGCTATGGTTAGGTAGAGATAATTTTTCAGGAGAGAACCTATACTTGGAGGTGGGACGCAGACGTGGATTGCAATAATGGCTGTAGTACCATATGCTTTCTTACCTGTTTCTTCATGGAAGAGAAAGAGGCCCTCTCTGAGTGGGGTGGGGGAAGAACATGTTTTGGGGATGGAGCTCTGCTTTCTTGGTGTGATGGGACACCATGTGTTTTCTGTTTGGGGCTGCTGTGGTCTCTGCTGCCTGACAGCCGTGTGCGGCGTGGATGTTTCTCTCCTCCTCAGGGAGCAGCCCGGAACCCTGAGGATATGGATCGGGAGCGGCGAGAGCATGAGCGAGAAGAGAGGATGGGACAACTCCGGGGGTCAGCCACGCGAGCGCTGCCCCCTGGCCCGCCTGCTGGAGCCACTGCCAACCGTCTTCGTAATGTCACTGAGCCCATGGCCTCCACCCCTACCTCCCGAATCCAACAGTCCGGTGAGTGGGGTGGGGGAGCTGGAGGAGGATGCCACCCCTGTTGTTGGCTGGAAACCGAAACTATTGACTGATATTCTTGTCTCGTGTTTCTCTGTCCCAATAGGAAACACGTCCCCCAGAGCAATCTCAAGAGTGGACAGGGAGCGGAAGGTCAGCATGAGGTTACACCGAGGAGCTCCTGCCAACGTCTCCTCGTCTGACCTCACAGGGCGGCAAGAGGTGTCACGGATTTCAGCATCACAGGTGAGTCCCTGCTGTGATGTTCGTGGCCTTGGCCTGGATGTCCCAGAAGGGCTACGGGCCCCACAGTGGTTTTTCCCTGATCTGCTGGAGCTGACATGAGCCCGAAGCTTCTAGTGTGGTGAGGGGAGTGGTACCACGTTAACGCCTTCGCTCTTCAGTTATGTATTTTCTGGAGGCCATGCTCAGTACTGTCATCTTAGCTCTGCTTTGCTTGGAGTAAGCCTTCATCTGGTTGTCTTCCAGACCGCAGTGGTTTAGAGACATGGAACAGTAAACTCTTGGGAGGGAGGATGTTGTGAGAGAAACGTGCAGCCTTTCTCTTTTGGTGTGCTTTGTACCTTTTTCTTCCTCCCCATCCCTTAACCTGTTCTTCCTTTTTTCTCTTGTAGACAAGTGTGCCATTTGATCACCTTGGGAAGTGAGGAGCAATTGCCACTGGACCAGTGTTTGCTTAGGTGAGCTTGTCCTCATGCTTGGGATCCCCCAAGGAGGGAATTGCTGGCATAAGGGATTAGGTTAAGGCTTTGGTGTTGCTGTGGGGGATTGGTACATTTCCTTTTCCTTCACCTTACTTTGAGATGTTTTTCAGCTTCAGAGGGAAGAGTAAGGTTGGCTGCCAAAACCCTTGAGGGGATGGATTATCTTGGGTGTGAAGGTAGCTTCTGTTTCTCCAGGAGGGCAGGGCGGGTGGAGAAGGTGCTGGGCTGGGGAGCCATTTTGTTAGTTCCTGATGAATGCTTTTTTGGCGATAGCATTGGGAGGAGGGTGCTGAGCACGTAATCAAGTGTGCGAGACTTTGCACAGTTAGCGAGTGCCTCTTGTAGAGGAAACGACAGTAGCCGGACAAGGTAACTCCGAGGGGTGGCAGGAGCATAGAAGAAAGGGCTGACTTCATTTGCTACACTCCAGTTGGCACTGGAAGTGCTGGGAAGAGCTTTTTCTCCTAACGTCTCTTCCCTTTTTCTCTCTCTTTAATTTTCTTTCTAGTGTCTTCACTGTATTTTTCTTTTAAAAAACAAAAAACCCAAAAAAAAACCCCAAACAAAAAACTAAAAAAGAAAAAAAAAAAAAGCAAAAAAAAAAACCCCGACAATTTCTTTTTGCCAACGACGAGGAGTCGAGCTGTGCCCCTGCGCTGGCGTGAGCCGTTTCTGAGAAGGCCGCCTGCATCCCCCAGCGCGAGCGCCTCTGAGAAGCTGACGACGTGGGAGCCATGCGGGAACACCTCCGCTGCCCCCCCAGCCCCACCCTGGCCCTACCGCTGCCCCCATGGGCTGCCCCCAGTTCCCTCTCCTGACTCTCTGCTCCTGGTTTTAGTTTCTTTTTTGTTTTTCTTCTTCTTGGATACCTTATCTTTATTTTCTTTTTTCAGTTATTATTTTCAAATCGTATGGTTTCTAGCCATATAAATTTTAACTTTACTCTTTTTTTTTTTTTTTTTTTTCTGAGGGCAGGGAATGGTGGGGTGTGGGGGGGTTTTATGTTGTTGTTGGGGTTTTTTTTTGTTTTGTTTTGTTTTTGTTTTTTTTTTCAGGAGCCTTGTGGTCCAGGAGTGAATCAGATTCCAGCCACGCTTGATGGTAGCAGTCTGATTTTTATTATTATAACAGAATTTATTTTCTCAAGCATTAAATGAATTTTAAGCTGTGAGGGGAATTGTGGCAACAGCCTAATCATTGACTCGGGCTTCCTTTCCTTGGGTGGCTTCTCTGCGTTTTTTTTTCTTTTTCGGCTGTCGGGAGAAGTGCCATACTCCCCTGATCCGAGCAGCCCTCACGTGCTGAGGGATCTCTATGGAGAGGCACCTGGTCCCATGGAGGATGGGAAGGCTGGAGCTGAAATACAGGGAGAAACACACTTCCCATCCCTGCAGCGGGGTCTTTTTTTCGTCTGGCTGTGCGTGTTTTTCTATTTTATTTTTTTTTTAATTAAAACTTGTTTTAATTCCTGCGGAGAGAGTGTGGGACTTGAGGAGAAGAGAGGGGCGCACAGAAACTGGAGTTTGGTGTTCTTTCGGAGCGATAGCTCTTGCGCTCTCCTTCCCTCATGCAACCCCAAGTGAGATCCACCGTACATGCACAATCCCTTCCTGCCCTCTCCCACCCGTCTCCCCTCCCTTCCCCCCCACTTTAGTTGTTTTTAAATATAATTTAGGAATACTCAAGCTGCTTTGTGGCACTTGGGGCTTTGAAACACAATGATCACCACTGCGACCTATGGCCTGTAGCAGACACACTGTCACTGTAGTGTGGAGCCGATGGGTTGTTGGCAGGGCGGGGAGGGTGGGGTTAGTCTTTGTTTTGTTTGTTTTTATCCTTTCTATTTAACACTTTATTTTTCCTCCCTATTTTTTTCCTAATTTATTTACCCCTCTTACTGTCTCTCTCTTTTTTTTAATTAAAGAGCAAAACTTTTTATTACTTTGTAATTTAAAAAAACAAAAAAAAACCTGAAGAACTTTGGGGGGGATTTTGTACTTTTTTCCTGTGTAAATATTGGACTTTTTTGAGCTTTATCGTGGTTGTTAATTTGAAGTAATAAAGTAGAAAATGATAAAGTGATGCCAGCATCTGTCATTTCTTCCTTCCCTGGCATCCTTGCTGGGAGTCACATCTTACATGCAGGAAGTGCTGTCTTGCAGCTGAACCTGTTCCTGAGTTCCAGGAACAAGTTTGATCAGAATTACTGGAAAAAAGGCACAGGGCTGGAGCACCTAAAAATAAATCTGAGCTGATCTCTGCAGTTGCAGTCTTGGAACAGTGAGAGCTATGTGAAATCTGACTCAGGATCTCTCAGTTCCTGGATTTGAGCCTCTGGTGTCCCATGTGTCTGGCCTTCAGAAGGGGAGGGATGGGACCTTTCCACACCGTTGACTTCGGGTGTGCACCGCGTTCGACGGAGATGGATCCTGGGTTTTGTGTTTTCTTGCTTTCTTCCATCCTTGAACTTAAATCACAGAAGAAGGGGAAGGAGAGGGGTCAGAGCAGCAGCCCTGGGCCCCTGACAACAGTGCTGTGCCTGATGCAAACATGCTGAACTCCCTGTAAAGTGGCACTTGCTGCTTTGGTGTCTGCGGTAGTGTGGTTTGTTTGGGTTTCTCCTTTGGTTGCCTGACCTGTCTGGCAGTAAATGACTGAATTTTAATACTGATTTATTTCTAAATTGCTGGTCCTTTAGTTATGCTTCCCTGCATTAGCTGGATGTGAAGTCTGTTTCTTGCAGGCTGTGTGAACTCTTGAAATTAATTTTTCAGAAACACCTGCTGGGAATAAATGATGGATCTTGGTAACCTCGCAAAATTCCTTCCAAGCCTGTTCTCTGCCCACTGAGCAGGAAGAGCTGATTCTTCATTTGCCTTCGGCGTGGGGCTTCCAGCTCCTCGGATGAGAGAAGAAGAGTAGAAGGGAAGGGAAGAGGATAGTTCAGGGGTATGGGGGTTATCCTATTGACTCATCACGTGTTGGTCCTGCCTCCATTTTGAGTATGTTTTTGAGGAATCCAAATGAAACTGGACTTTTTTCCCTTCTAAATCTTGTTTTCTGTGAGAAAGAGGGACGTTGCCTATGTGGAAGACAACACCCACCTCCCCGTGGTGCCTTTGCTCCCCTGAGTGCGTGGCCTCGCTGCAGTGCAGGCAGCAGAGCCTTGGTCCGGCTGGGTTCAGGAGAGGTTGCTGGGTTTTGG